CTCCACCAGAACTCGAACTATTACAGTCCAGAGTTTACTCTCGACATGCCAACAGTTAAGCCACATTGTCACGAATGATCTTGGGTCACAGGGCAGATTTGAATTGTAACCAAGGCCAGGCATTTTCCCATATCACATTCTGTGGTGGGATTTTCGATGAATTAATGTTGTATTTGCTACAGCAATCGGCAATGTTACTCATTTTTCCTTTTTGTAATTATCGTTTCGAGACTTAGGCGATGTTGATACTGCATTCCAATTTGGATGAGAAAACCTTTTTGGGAGAGCCAGTTTATTTGAAATCCAGTAAAAATGCAAGGTCTTCTCATTCAATAGTGGGAAAATAAAACTACCAGTACCAGACGAAATAGGGTGAACAGATCTACAATACAATAATTTGATTTCAACAGCGCACTGCTTGGCCATCGTAGTATTAAGGACTGATTTTTTGGCACTCGAAAAAATAAACTAAGGACAAGATTCGTAAGCTCGTAATTTTTAATCACCTTCTCCCTCAACTTAATTTAAATGGGAGTTAAGGTTAGACCTCCAATTCACAAGATTTTGGGATTCATGGCCTTTGAGTTAAGTGGTATGTTTGACTTTCACAGCAAGTCATCTTAGTGCACCATTTTCATCATTTCTTCATTCCGCTTCACTCAGACCACAAAAGTTTATATAAATACAGCCTTGTCTTCGCAACCTGGTCATATTTTTATGAAGACCTAGAGGAATGCGCCTTGTCCGGAGTCTACAGCATGTACAATAATTTCTAGAGTCCGACCAGGGATTTGGTACATTTTCAGACATCTGCCAATCTATCTGTCACATCTACCCTGTGATTCAAGGGCACTGTCATGTCTCGAGTCCCGCTCGGGGAGTTGATACAACCTAGGCGAGCTCGAAACTGCGGTCCTTCTTGGATGATAACACCTTTTGGGAAATGCAATTGAAGCATCAGCTCAACTGATATCATTGTGGGAAAATTCAGTTAGCAGCCCCTAATCACTTTAAACGAAATAGGGTGAATACATCTCATATAACAATTCCAGCCATTTTGCCGGCATCGCAGTCAGCATCGTCAGTGAACCTTCTCATTCTTAACACCACACCACAACTCGTCAGAGAGACAGGTGAAGTCAATCTTTTGACCGCTTGTCTGCCAAACAGTTATAGTATCTCTCCTTTTGTTCTGGTGTATTCGCTCGTATGAACAAGTTGTGAACACACGGTCAAACAACTTCTATAAAACGAAAGGAGACCACAAGCTTACTAACGACCACACCATCTTGATCCTCATACCCTCGATTAAACTGTAGCACTATAGCAGTTGTTTGACCTTGTTTTCGCAACTTGGTCATATTGGCAGGAAGATCTTGAGGAATGCATAATAATGTCCATAGTCGGACCATGGACTTAGTACATTCCAAGACATTTCGCCCACAACATCTTGCTCTTCGTATCCACGAAATTATAATTGCTATATACTAGCTCAATAGTGTCTTCGCCCTCTTATTTTTATTCTGCTCATTTCACTTTATGTAATAAACCCTGTATCCAGGTTGAGTCAACCATTTGGATGCCTCCTCCTTGCACACGAATTCAAACAATGTTCTCTTTGAACTTCCCACTTCCTACACATTTATAGATGCGGCAGTACAACTGCTGGCGGTCCCGTAAACACACGAACACTTCCGTGCTTTCCTGGTTTAATGGATGGTCTATTGCACGGCCTTCCATCGCCTGCCGAGATGGCTGCTATGGCAGCAGCATCACTACCCGTGCTCACCTCGTCCACGGCTGCTGTGGATGGGCATTCTTCAGCGACCACCCCCTCCCTTTCTAGTGCGAACTATCTCAATTGCAGTCTGAAACCTGCAAACATCGGCCCTTCCGCTTTCCTCCTACCCTCCACATCTACACCACACCCCTCCTCCCCCTGTTCCTCTTCGTCTTTCTCACCCACAGCCTCGGTGCTCGGCAGCTCAGCTTCACACCTCGACTTTGTGCGCTCGACTAGTCGTGCCCTGTTGCAGAAGTACCTCCAACCCTTCCACAACCAGCCTTCCAGCACGACAGAACTCCTGGCCTCGTCGAGTTCCCAGTCGAGTTGTGTGAAATGCCCACTCTCGACTCCTCCGAGGACGGGGCCAACTTGCCAGCCCACCTACACCTTGAGTGGGCCACAGTCACAACAAATGGGCTCGCAATATCATCAGCCGAATCAGCATCAACATCAGCATCAGCATCACTTCCAACGTGCTCATGTCTATACATTAGGCCATCAGGAGGCCTGTGGCATGCATCTTCCGGTACCGATGCCTTTATTTCAGCCCCAGTTGCCTCTGCCGGCCTTAGCACTCACAACCTCATTGGCCCAGTCTTCTGCAACTGCCTCTCAGACATCTGCCTACCCCTCGACCGTCTGTACTGAGCCGACTAAGCTGAACAACTGGACGGACAACGGCACATCGGCCAACAGGTCGGCCATCGTGAGACGACAAGCCTCAAGCTTCACCGATGCTCAAAGCGTCGGTACCAGCGGCGTCAGTGCCGATTCTGACACCAAGCGACGCGGACCGATCCAGGCGTCGAGCAGCTCTGTCAGCCCGTCTGGGACTCGAGCGGAGTGCGTGAGCACGAGAACAGGCCTTGGTGATGCTCGAGCCAACGGCACGTCTTCCGGAGGGATGGGCGAAGTCGGCGGCGTTTCCACCCTCCAACCGGGCGTCAGGGCGTGTCCCGGCTCTCCTGTCCGTCGTCCCTACACGGAAGCTGAACTGTCGGCGGCAGTACGCGCCATCTGCTTCGGCCGGTTGGGCACACGACGAGCCGCCAGTGTATACGGCATACCAAGATCGACGCTGCGCAACAAGATCTGCAAACTGAACGAACTCAAGCGTCGAGAAGAGGAGCGCATGGGAGGAGTTCAGATCAGCATGGCCGAGTTCTTGCGCAGTCTGGTCATCCTGCCGCCACAGCAACTGCACAGTCTGCCAATGAATGCCTTGGGCAACCAGCAGCCCAATCATGTCCAGCAGTTTCAGCACATCCAACATCAACAAGGACAGTCACATCAGCAACATCATCATCATCAACAACAACAACAACAACAAGTGTCAAGCTCCGCAGGGAGCTTCTGTGATTTGCACGAGGACCGGCCAGGACGAGTGCCGAGCAAGACGGCTGCATCGTCGACGGGAAGAAGGCCAGGCCTACAACAGTCAGGCTATGCGCAACGCGGCGATTCCCTCTTTTCTGGAGGGGAGATGAAACGGCATCACACAGCCATTTTGGCACAAACAGCGAGCCGTATCGCGTCTGTATTTCAGGTAATTTGTGGATTTTGTCGGTCTTTCAGTTTATACATTTTTCGCCAATTTCGAGAAATTCACATAGCTTTTGCTGAAACCACACAAAGGACTATATGCTCCCCGGAATGCAAGAAATGTCCTATTAAGTGTTCTAAATCGTATTTGCGGGAAATCTAATGTGAATACAATAACTATGTGCATCCAAAGTGCTGCTCATATTTGTGAATTTAAAATGACATATTATTTTTATGCGAAGTAAAGTTATGTTTCGAGCAATCTCTTGTTTCATAATGGTTGAGCTTACTTCCATTTCGAGTGAAAGTGTTGGGTTAAGAGATTCGAAAGTCGGTTCCACCAGAAAACAACGGCGGATTCCTCTTGACCAGCTGTCGTTTGGCTTTAGTGAAAGATTCATGCTGACGCTGTTTCCGGAGCAATCTCCTTCGATTCCAGTGAA